GGTAAACCCAGTACCAGCAACTCTTGTCGTCCACCACAGGGGCTGTCTGTTCCAGTACACCGGGGTATCCCCCTACTCGTCTCGAAGGATGTACAGGGTTCTTTATAGTGCACATAGCATTGTATACACTGGCCCTACGGTTTATAGTCCTTATCCGAGAAGACTTGTTCTACTACCAGAACCATAGGCGAGCGTGCCGTTCGAACAAGCGCCGATATTATGGCTGTAGCTTGCGGCGCCCCTGCTAACCACTCAGCTATACGACTCGCCAGGTCGAAAAGGTAAAAGGTAACAACCATTGCCCTTTGTTATACCATCACCAGGGAGCAGTCATATGACTGCTCCCTGTATGTAATTCTGAAAGTACAGACATAAGATATTTACCAATCATTAAGATATTGGTTTTAAATTAATGGTGAATCAAAAACGTGCCAAAAAATTAAACATTTGATATTTTTAATTGAATTCAACCCCAAACAAACACAAGACCACTTAAAGTTAAGTGGCTACTGTTTTATCAATTACATATATACTGTATATACACACCATGAAATCAAGTTGATCAAATAGAGTGAAATCTGCAGCGCCAACACCTCCCCTTCCCCAAAACATAATACAACAGAAGCCTGGTTCTCACGAGAGCCCTAGTATCCGGATCGGGAGCTAACCATTAGCACCTGCGTGAGAACGCCCAATTGGTTAGAGCTAACCATTAGCGGTATCCGGATACCACTAACGGTTAGCAAGTGCTATCGGTTAGCAAATGAGCACGTTTCTATCATCAACCAATCACACGTACACGTTTAGAATTTCGAGTTTCTTATTGGCTAGTGATTCGATCATTGTAATCTTGGTATCCGGATCGGGATTTTCTTGTATGGACGCACGGCACCTAACGGTTAGCAGGATCCAGATCCTGCTAACCGTTAGCAGCCGTGTGAGAACATAGCCATAGAGATGATGTGGCTCTTCTGCATCTTCAATTACAAGCTTTTACACTCTTCTAATTTTAGAGTATTTTCGAGTTATTGATTCCTGAATATGAATAAAAAGTTTAAACTGCTGAATCATAATAAATACTTTTTCACTAAGCCTACGTGTATGCCTCACGTAACATTCGATTGGTGATTGATTGTAAATCCCATAAGTGCATAGAATAAACCAGGAAGTACAATTTTCTCCCCCGAGAGGTGGGAAGCTGATACACAACCTAATAAATTATGAGGTAGCTTGTTTACCTGGTTCATATCTAATTGGAATAATACTATACTATACTACAATATAATACTATACTATAGTATACTATACTATAGGCTACTATACTGCACTGTACTGATACTGTATTCTATACTATATTGCTCTTACGTGATGTAATCCATTGGTTTTCGACACCGTCTATCTTGAGAGCGCTTCCTTTGAAATCTGAGCCAAGTACAATGTCAAGTTCACCTATAGAAGCCATCACATATTCACTTGTACTAGACATCGGCATATATTTCGAGATGGATGAAGTGAAGCGCCGAATATATGCATCGGTTGTCCAATAGTATGTTGCATAATTTAGAAACGAAAATTCCTCCACTTTAAAGGTAAGTGAATAAAATAGGTTTGTGAAAAAGATATACCTTGTATGTTGTCAATAACAAACACCTTTAAAACACAATCGAATTCAAATTACAGTGTTAAGCTTATACTTTGGTTATTCTATTTCAACTAGTTTGTACACTTTCAGTTAAGAGCATTTGTCCAATTATTTATAATTGAAGATATACCTAATCTTACCGGTTTGTCATTTTAAAGCACTATCAGTTAAATCAGAATTTTTTAAAAAACATAAGCCACTTGAAACTAAAATACTTTTGGAGATTTTATACTAAAAATCATGTTATTTTAATGACTGCACTCAAATTCTTCTAAGGCCAAGATTACCATTAGATTTAAAGTTGTATAACAACTTGGCCTATACTCACACAAAGACTTCACTCCATTGAAATCACGATTTCAAAATAATTATTTAACAACAGTTCTTAACAGCAAGTGTAATCTAATATGATCATACCCGTTACACCAAGGAATAAATGAGATTCAAACTCGTAGAGGTATCTGGGCCAAAGTACAAAGTCAGACATGTGAGCAGTATATACGGTTGGCATGCTTGAATACATGGATCCTAGAGCGACAACATTGCTTTTAGTCACACCTACATCAACCTAAACAATAAGATCCCAAGATTTTAAATAATATAATAATAATAATAATAATAATAATAATAATAATAATAATAATAATAATAATATAAAATCATACTAAAGACAATTATGCAGTAAAAAAAATAAACATAAAAACCAACTAGAAGTCAGTAAGACTCGAAATATGGCTGCAGTGGTAATAGCGAGGGTGAGAGTTTCTTGCCATTATGCTAAAGAACTCGACTCTGCGGAGGTCAGTGCATATTTAGTTTGTCTACCCGTTTATTAATATTCAAAATAATTTATGTAGAATGATGTCATTTTTTTATACCTACATCTTTCATATATGGTCTTAGCTTGGACAACTTAGAAGAAGATCCAAGCACGGAAAATGACCAAAGTGTCAGACACTAAAATACTTGTGCAAAAACATAGGAAAGAAGAAGAAAAACAATGACTTTTTCTGCATACGCAGGAAAAGCCAATAATAATAATTAAAGAACACTACCGTTAAGGACCCATTAGCATAGTCGTTGAAAGTATTGTCCGATGGTTGCCTGTGTCCATTTATGTAAATTGAACCACCTTTATCATTCCGCCATGTAAAGCCAATGTTAAGCCATTCATCAGCTGTTATCACATACTCTCTTGTCTTCGAACTGTATTCAACACTGCTGTAGTTCACTGTCAATTCACAATTAAACAATGCATTTAAAAATAATAAAAATAATAATTGTGTTCTATCAAATGCAAATATAATGTCCAAGAAATGTGACCAATAAAAATTAACCCACATGCCTTAATGTGTTAAATGTTGTCCCTAAAAATTGTTACTCATTTTTTTTCTTCCGGCGATTTAGGTATCATAGTTATAAGTTATTGATTAATAATTTTTGTTTGAAAGAGTGTCCATAACGCATTTAAGGATGCAATTCTTACACTAAAAGGTAATTGCAAAAAAACATCAGAAAAAATGAATCTATAAAATGTGGTATACTTAGGTCGATTGGAGTGGTATTTAACATGGTCAATGAAGCCTGCTTTTGAAAGTTTTGTTACCAGTAACTTGACAATGTTGGCTCGCCTGTACCATAAACACAATAATTGAGCCAAACAAGTATTTTGAAAAAAATTTTAAATATTACACTTACCGATTAAATGAAATTGATTGTCTGCTGTCAATTCAAGAACGGTATACGGACCTTTACCCCGCTCAGCTCCCGCGTGTACAATGATGCCAGGCGCATTTGAAAGAGCACTGGATTCAAGTTTAAGCCACACCGAACAAGAGAAACCATCGGTGCAATTATTTGGTTGACCAAGGCATTCTCCATTTGCCTGTGATAAATTTCCCGAAAATAAGGCATTCACCCATGAATCAGCTCCAAGAAAACCGAGGTAACGATCACCTATGTCGCCCCGTCCAACTGAGGTTGTTAAAAAAAGCCCGCCATCTGCAAATCCATCGTTGGTGTCAGAAAAGTCCTCGTAATGCTGGGACAGCCCATACATTGGCTCAATAAGAATATTTGTATTGTTTACTGCAAGAATTAAAACGTTGTATGTGTATACACTCAACTTCAATACTGCCTACCACACGAACAGGTAAACATACTGCATTTAAGCGAATATCTCTTATAAGCGCTGTTCTTCAAAAAATGCTGTGGCGCTTATATTTGAGATATATATATTTTGGGAAAAAAAACATCGGTGCATAACCGATAAGGGGCATATTACAAACTGCCTTGATATTTCGTATCATCAAAAAAATAATAAAACAAAAGATTTCTCACGAAATAATTATAATGTTTAGAACAAATTCAGGTACCAGGCATTGGTACTATTTAAGCACTCATATAATATGTAGCAAAAGTTGCGCTTGGATAAGCCCTGCAGTTAAGCCTTCGACAATCACATCAGAGCTGATATCCATCTATCGTTACTGTCTGATTCATTTTAAACTATGCTTTTATGAAATTTGGTTTGCTAGAGAGATTGTTAATGTCATTTAACCAACACTTTTATTCTTAATATTTAACAAGGATTTGTAAGCAATACTCACGTAAATCAGTTGGACTAATATCGGCAGTAGAAGAACTATCGAACACAAAGTCGGGAACAAGGTCTATAGATACAGATACAAATTACTTTATTATCAATTGCTAGAAATTATGTTGCTCACTGGTACAATAAGTGAGTAAATACAATATAGATCCTATCTCCTATATGTTCTGCCTGCTAGTAACAACTGTAATTAAAAAATGATAAATCGTAAAGTTTGTGTTAGGAACTTTTAATTTTGTTGCTTGTAAGTTTATAATTGTACCTTCATTATTCTTGTTTCTTCCTAAACAGACTACTGTACAGTTATATTGAGTAACTATGAAATTTGGGCTGGATCTTTGCTGATCCACGTCAGTCGCAGTGTAGCACCACAAATTATGTGAGATTGGACAGCAGTATTTATGGTACTTTCGTTAAAGGTACCAAATTTCAACATGCACGTACAAGGCAAAAACGATACCCATGGTTCAGCCAGCTATCTCATAACGTTTATGAACGACTTACCAATTTCACATCTATCTCCTTCAAAACCAAATTCGCACTGGCATTCGAACCCGTTTTCTTGATCAATACATTCTCCATTCTCACATGGGTAACTAATGCACTCGTCTAAATCTTAACATTTAAGAAAAGGGCATAATTAGTTTTAACTTGTATAATTACATATGCTAGTTCACAAATTATTGCACTCAAGAAAAAAATATTATCATAATTTACTGTTGTGTGGATTGGAAGAGTGGTTTCCCAAAAGTGTCCAAAAAATTAAAGAAGCTGTGGAAATTACATTTACAAATGGAAAAAATAGGCCAACGTTTTTATGCTTTGATCTTCGGCATATAAAAGTAAACTAAAAACTACTAGATGACGGGTGTTCATATAACCGTTAATATAGAAGACAGCCAATTAATGAGGAGTTTTCAATTTTTGTGACGACGTGACACTAAGACGGATTCATGCATTTGTGATCGTTCTGCTTTCTCTGGAAAATAAGATTTTGTCATTATGTTGTCCTTTTTACCGTTGTGATGCAATCGAAAGGTCTCTCATACATACCATTTTCACATAAAGTGCCGTTGAAACCAGTAAAACAGTCACATACATATGCTGCAATTCCAGCGTCAAGACAGATACCATTCTCACACTCGTTTCCCCTACAGTCATCTCCATCTGTTGAAATAACATGGTAAAGAAATATAAAAAGGTTCGTTGGTAGCGAATACAATAACTTATGCTCCAGCTAGGTGGCAAATGTGCATTGCCTATATATTTCATGGTTGTAGGTCCAAATCCTGCAAGACACCATTACTTGATAGCAAGACTAAAATATAAAAAAAAAGCAGCAACAACAACACTAAAGATAATACTACTAGTAATATTTACCAATTCCTCTCGACAGTATTACGGTCCTGTTGTCCGTCTCTGGGAGATAATTGTCAGCAATGTAGAGCTCGTCAAACAATGTCTCTGTAGAATTTATTATCATGTTCACATTCGAGCCTAATCTTGCCCCAATTGTCAAGTACCCATAGCTTTCTGGTACCTGGTTCGTGGTTGGTTGTGGTTCTTGGTGTTTTTTAATACCATCAATAAATACCTAATTCGATAGAGCACATTGTTTACTGTTAATATTGTTGTCGACTGTTACACTATGCTAGACAAAAACATGTGTGCCGGCTTTAAAATAATATAAAGTTAAAACACACCTCTAATCCTGAACCACCAACACTATCCCATGTAAACGCAATCTGAGTCCAAATATTACCAACGATGAAACCACCAGCGAGTTCTACCTCCCATTGACTACTGCCGTTGTTTACTACTACGAACAACGTACCAGAATTGTGGTACACGGCAAAACCTGTCTGATCGGGTGCTCCTAAATGTAATAGGTATAACATCAATAAACCATCTACCGAAAGGTCCACTGATTAATCTCAGATAAAAAGGTATAATACATACTCCAAGTATTGAAATGCACGCCATCGTGTTAGGATTCAAATTAAGCCATCTCCTAGCTTAAATGAGCTAGGCTGTGAACCAACGCTGATGGGGCTTATACAACAGGTATATAATAATATATAATGTATATTTTTTTAGTAGATTTGTATGCATATATTCCTAATAGAATAAAATTGTAATGTTTTTAGTACCTACAAATATAATAATAATAATAATAAAATAATTGCTGTACATTTACTTTAAAGACCTAGGCCTAGTTTTAGTAACTTAATTTATATATACCAATCATCATCATCGTTCATTTTTTAATGCGCTATAATCATATTTATTCATTGAAAACCCCCAACATCTACAGTTGATGAATCAAAGAAGTTTGGATGGGTCATATAAGCCATAAGCTTGCCAACCAACCCAAGCAAGTAAGAAATATAATCTGATTAAAATAAAATCATTTAAAAAAGAAATACATATTGTATATTCAATTCAGATGAATGTATGTCATTCAAGTATTAACAGCAGCATCATAATCATCTCATTATTTTTATTATTATCATATACAGTGACAAGACCAATCATCGTCATCATTCATTTTCTTGGGGTATAATCACATTCATTCATTGAAAACATCTACAGCTGACAAATCGTCAAAGAAGTTTGGATGGGTAATATAAGCATATAAGAAATATAATCTGCTTTAAAAATAAAATTATTTAAAAGAAGAACATACTGTATATTCAATTTAGTTATTTAGTTGAATGTAAATCATGCAAGTATTAACAGCATCATAATCATCACATTATTTTTATTATTATCATCATTAATATTTTTATTGATAAGATAAACATACCAGTAGATATGAAATATTTATCTCCAGATTTCTGAAGCTCTTCGGTTGTAAGTCTCACCCAGAAAGATACCGTCATGCCATTTTCGCACTCGGCTGGTTCCACTGCACAAGGCATTGGGAATGGCATAGACAGAGCTTTTGAGCCATTTTCGCGGGGTTCAGGCACCTGAATAGCCTTACTTTGAATACCAAACATGTTAACAAAGCGATCAAGATCATCAAAATAGGGTTGACTGATACCATCAATAGAACAACCAAGATCAAGATCATCCAACAGGTTGTAATATGTGGTATACAACGCTGCAGCGGTAGGTGGTAGCAGTGTAGTGAATGTATAGTTTGAGTCGGTGTTGTTGGCCACAGGTGACCTACTTGGGGCCAACAAGTGGGCAGCCGTTGGGCGTACTATCGTGTCGTTCACATTGAATGAGCATATCATCTCGTGTGGATAGCTCGGTGCTGAAACAAAGGTGGACAATTTGTGACTATTAAAAAACGCACTTACAATTCTTTGGAAAATAATAATAATAGTAAAAGGAGAATGAATGGTTTAGAAATTAATATTGACAGATGATTCGCAAACCAACATTAGCAGAATATTATTGGAAAGTAATGGACTGTTCCGGAGTGTCAATCAGAACAGTGCCAGGAACATGCGTGTGTCCAACGAATATTTTATATTATCATCATTGCCTTTAGTTGGGAGCGTTTAGTACTAGTGACGCTATACAAGTCCCTTGTGTCCCTAGGCAAGGCACTTTATCTATGTTGTCTCTCTCTACCCAGAAGTATAAGTGGGTAGCTAGGAAAGTTCAAATGCAAAATGCTGATTTATTTCATGCGGCAAACTATGATTAGAGTACTTCCTCAATCGTTTCAATAAAGGGGTAATAATACCGAAAAAAGCACTTTAGAGTTATGTAGAGCGATATAAATACCGACATATCATTGTGATACAGTAGTGCGTTTAATATTGAACTGTTTCTATGTGTACTAACATTTGGTGTTATGTAACTGATGTTCTTGGTGAAAATCAGTGTATTTAGTAACATTATTGGTACATACATACATAACATACATGTGGTGACGTGAAGTAGTTTGGACCGTTATTATTGAAAATTAATATTTATTTTTGTTAATGTGTACGTTGGTAATGCTGATATGTATATTGTTACCTGTTGTGAGAGTAGTGGTGAGCCCCTCCGTTGTAGGATCAAACGTCGTTGACTTTAGAGTTGTAACAACTTCTGTAGTTATTTTAGTCGTTGCCATTTCTTGTGTTGTTAGAGACTCAGTTGTTGGCAGTTTAGTTGTCGGAAGCTCAGTTGTCGGAGGCTCAGTTGTCGGAGGCTCAGTTGTCGGAGGCTCCGTTGTCGGAGGCTCCGTTGTCGGAGTCTCCGTTGTCGGAGGCTCCGTTGTCGGAGTCTCCGTTGTCGGAGGCTCCGTTGTCGGAGGTTCCGTTGTCGGAGGTTCCGTTGTCGGAGGTTCCGTTGTCGGAGGTTCCGTTGTCGGCGGTTCCGTTGTCGGCGGTTCCGTTGTCGGAGGCTCAGTTGTTGGAAGAGTGGTGGTAACTAAAACAAAAATAAAAATTATATATATGTGTAAGTGTATGTGTAATTAGAAGTTTCACTTATTAAATTCTAAATATTCTTGTTAAATTCACAAAAAGTACCAAAATACCACATATATATACTCCACATAATATATTCAGACAAACGGTCAACACTAAACAAAAGAACCGAGCTATTGTCTAAATGCAGGCAAAGCAACAAATACCTACTTAAAAACAATTAACTCATTTGCATTTTCACCTGTCTTAGCATTCATATACTCGCACAATCATTGTATTCTCTCACTCCTGAAGATTGCATTAGCATGAAACAGTCTGTAGAG